TTTTTAGGTTTTACCGCACAATAACACTTGGCATACACAAAATTGCATGTCATAATTAGAAAAAAAGAAAAAAAAAACTCCAATGATTGCCGGCAAGAAAGAAGTATGCGTCCCGACTACTAAATACATCAAGTGCAAAAGAAAATACAGAAAACAATGGAAATATGAAAATAAATCCAGAAAACATACATCAAAAAACACGACTATTAAGGACACCACAGTGGTTTTTATTCAATACAAGCAAAAAATTCACGTGAATTCCTCAAAATAAGAACTTTAAAACGAGTCCTGTGTAAATCCTATACAAAATTAGGAAAAAATTAAAATCCACTGCATAATCTGCCTTCTCTGCGAGGACAGAATAGCAAAAGATTCGTGAAAACTGTTTATTTTCAGGCAATAACTAATCGCTGGATCATTCTTCAAGCGGTCCAAGACATATGTTCTGTCCAGAATGTTAGACATCTATCACTTTATTTTTTAAAATAAATCCTTTTCTCTCACATATGTCAGCTCCAGTTTGGTACTTGTCATGTCAAATCTTGTCAAAATTTCAGATTTGCAAAATTTCAGATTGATATTCGTCAAAAAAAAAACAATTCTCTCATACATGTCAGCCCGAATTCAGTCAATAATCAAAATAAATCGAAAACACTGAAACAATTTCAGATTCGCAATGGTGGATTCGAACCATCAGTACGGTGTATGCATCCAGGTACTACCATGGAAAGTCAATCACAACAGTTCGAAAATTCGAGAAAAGAAGAATAGAAGAATAGAAGATCAAATTCAAATGGAATGCTTCAGAACAAAACGAGGAGATGCAACACAATCGGCAAGGATGGACAATAAAGCTAATGAAATTTAATAAAAAGCCAACCGGCAGTTTAATAAGTACCACAGTGTGATCGCTTCATGCTCTGGGCAAGCAGGAGTGCATAGACCGCCTCGTGTAGTGGGCAAGTAGTAATGCCTGCTGCTATCAGTTAAAATCGGCAAAATAGTAAAAAAAAGGAATAAAAAATATGCAGCAATTGATAAAAAGACGATAAATTAACGACGAAACTCCATGCGCATTTTTAGAATGAAATAAATGTTAAAAAACAAAAATTGAAACTGAAATAATCTGAAACTGAAACGAAATTAAAACAAATTAAAATTAAAGCCGAAATAAGCCGATAAGTCCGAACTAATCGAAGTGAAAAACTGAATTTGGAAAAAAGCTTAGTTTAGGAACCAGTAAGCTAGGGCATGCTTAAGGAGCTACAGTACGTCTATACCAGGTACAGTAGATTACAGAATGCCTACAGAAGACGCGATCGCGCTTCAGTACGCTTGCAGTCAAATAACTAAACAATGCTAAAACACGTGCGCCAAAAATGATTTCATAATTTACAATGGGAAGAGGGCAATAAATGAAGCGTCAAAAACAGTTTAATATATTTCAAATGAAAAGAGTGAAACTCAAGATACTTGCATGTTTTAATTTTACCAAATATTATGAAGTGACCCATCCCCTAAATCCGTTTCTTATGAGCAAAATCAAGAAGTATCCCGGGTGGCCAGAAGCTCCGGCTACTGTCATTGATCTTTCGAGGGTTGCTTGGAAGCAAGCTGATGACGGGTTTGACTCGCTGGCATGTGCCAAAAGCAATATCTGAATGAACCGACAAATCAAAAAGAAGCTGTTTTCATGATGCCTAAATGGAACTGAAGGAATTCAGCATCTGAGGATCACCACTGCCATTGCCTTAACACAGTGCAAGAAAAAGTCACTGAAAGTTCGACTTTAAATTAGCATATTCGAAAACTGTTTAAGGATGCGCATATTCATGAACAGCAACATTTTTTAGAAAAAAAAGAGACAATATAATTTGGCATGTAAGATGCGTTGCTCACTAATTTCATGAACAGAGTAATTATTAGATAATTATTGAAAACGAAGTTATGAGACCAGAAATTGGTTTTGTTAAGAAACAATTCATCGCCAGCCAGTAAAATACCCCATCACGGTACAGGAGTCCCCCCCGTCCCTCCCCCTCTCTAGAAGAAACAGGTGATGTGATGCTCAACAAATCCTTGCCAAGTGCTTCCGTCAAAAAAAAAAACTACTGAACTGGCTGGTATTCTCATCAGGAAGCGAAACAAATATTAGGTTCGATAGTAAGAGGCTAAACACCGGGCAGTGTGCCATAGCCGACGTAACTGGAAAAGTTGTCAGCTTTGCGTTACCGCGCTAAACACCCGTAATGAGCATTTATCTTCGTGTCCAGGTATGGAAATATTAATCCGTACAGGTACGGGAATATTGATCCGTTTTCGGGAATATTAATCCGTCTTCGTGCCCAGGTACGAAAATATTAACCCGTTTTCCTTTCGATTGCTGAGATGGATTTGAACTCCTGTTCTCAATAATCCAAAACGGCATTAACCGATAAAGTACAATTGATCAAGCTATCAAATTATATGTTATTCAAGACACCTTATAAGAAAAACAGATAAAGTAAAAAAAAAGCTAACATAACAAAAATACACGCCGAATCCGCAAAATTAGTCCTTAACAGCAGAATATTTTGAACTCCATCGGCTAAGTAGTATGTTAGCGAAGAAAGCAACACTGGCATTTGCAACCGGTTACGAGATGTCTAAAATATGCCAATTTGCGGACAGCATCTTCGTAAGCATCACCAGCTAAAATAGGTATATATAAAACAACATTCGCTCAGATCGCAAACAACCATAATTTATCAAAAAAATCATTTGAAAACTTAAAATTACCTTATCAGTTTGCTTATGAAAGAAGTGAAAAAAAAACCTTTTTGCGAAAAAAGTACTGCTGATGGGTTTACTTTTATATGATTAACTGTGAAGTCAGTAGAGTATCGGGTGTGCTACGCAAAATCCGTACCGATTCGCCATCGAAACGAAATGAATCTCGCATAATTTTTGCCGGTAATAATTTTTCCCAAATTCGAGCGCCTAGTTTTTGTGGTTAAAAAATTCTAATCATACAGGTTACACACATATTCCCACATGTCATTCCGCGTTATTATTACACAACTTTCAACATCCATCAAAATTTAATCTGCCCCCCCC